TGGGAGTTGAAGGCCAAAACACCCGGGGACCCACAGCTTGAGAACCACTGCTTTAATCAAAACCTGTCTATTTACGATACTATTTTTGGACTGTCCAGAAAATGCAATTCTTCATCTAAACTACATGATGAGGAAGATTTTGCAAAACTATAATTCCCTGGCCATATTGGTAACAGTTAAAAAGTATCTAAGAGCAGACCCCTGCCAGAGCTGGACTATAATTTTTAATAATATAATCATAGAATTGGGCCATCCAGTCCAACCTCCTGCCAAGAAGCAGGACAATCACGTTCAAATCCCAGCTCATGACATAGAACTGCTACATGACCGGAGACAGGTGGGTCATTTGATAATGATTCCAGCTGAGATCAAGTAGTTCAAATCAACATAATGAGTTATTGAAAATATGGCACATAAATATCATCCTAATGTTTAAAAAAAACAAGATTGGGTTATATTCTTTCAACCTGCTTATTTAGTATTTGCAATATAATATATTAAAAAAACAACTGCTGCATTAATGAAGAATTTTATTGAATCAATGGTACTAATTATTTTTATCAGACATTAGTACTGAACTGCAAAACTAGTTCAAATACTCGGTGGTAAAACTTCAATAGGAAAATGAGCAGAGAACAGAATATTCCCTAACAACTTGAGGACTGGGTCTACTACAGTTTTGGTAGTTCCCAACCCACAAATGTATGACTTTTCGGATTTTTTTAAATGTCAGGTGCGACTTGAGAAACTGCAAGTCACTTCTGGTGTGAGAGAATTGGCCGTCTGCAAAGACGCTGCCTGGGAGACGCCTGGATTTTTTGATGTTTTACGATCCTTGTGGGAGGCTTCTCTCATATTCCCGCATGAGGAGCCGAAGCTGACAGAGGGAGCTCATCTGTGCTCTCCCCAGATTCGAACTTCCGACCTCTTGGTCTTCAGTCCTGTCTGCACAAGGATTTAACCCATTGCACCACCGGGGGCTCCTTAGGTAAAAGGGGGCCTCTTCAGGTAAAAGATACCTAATCCATACAAAGAAAGTAGTCTTTGCAGTGTAAGGGTATAGGTTTATAATTGTCTCAGGTTTGTTTTGTTGTAGTGCCTCAAGGAAGAATAATTTATAAATCACATTCAGTAACATAAAAATATAAATTACCTAATATTACAATGGGCACAGCAAAAGGATAGTATTTATTTTCTGAACTGGGAGGTGTTGTTTCTTATCTGAAGGCTACACTCTGCCCAGAAAGCTCCCCCCCACCACACCACTTAATTCCACATATAAAGGACTTTGCTAAAGTTATCCAGTAACTCAGAAAAGTCCCTATGCATACTAATCTGCCTTATGCCAGCTCAATTTGTTAAAAAATGTGAGACTATAGTTTTTCAGGGTTCCAGAAGGATGTCTTTGCCAATCCTAGAAGACTGAACCTAGAATCAATAGTAGACAAAGCATTTGCTGTCTTGTTGTGCTATAACAGGGGTCCTCAAACAAAGGCCTGTGGGCCGGATGCCGCCCTCCAAGGTCATTCACCTGGGCCCAGTTCTAAACTTTAAACTTAAGGTCGCCCTAAGTCTGAAACGACTTGAAGGCACACAACAGTCCTAATTAACTTTACTCTCTCATCAGCCAAAACCAGACCGACATGTCCCATTGAAATACTGGTAAGTTGATGTTCGTTAAAATTGTTCTTCATTTTAAATATTGTTCTTTCATGGGATTTTTTTTTACACTGCAAATTAGATAATAATATTATTATAATAAAACTTTATTTCTATTCCACTCCTCTCCCCAAGGACGGTTCACAACATATAACAATAACAATAAAGATATGTGCAGTGTGCCTAAGAATTTGTTCATGTTTTTTTCAAACGATAGTCCAGCCTCCCAACAATCTGAAGGACTGTGAACCGGCCCTCGGCATAAAAAGTTTGAGGATCCCTGTGCTATAACTTTTTCTCAACATGAGGATGGACCATTGATTGTAACATAAGAGATGGCACAATCATTCTTCCAGATCAGGCAAGCTCTGTGAAGGATTATTAATTTCTTTAAAAACTCCCACATAGGATGCTCAGAGGTTCCCTATTCTGGTGGTTACATTACACACTCTGGCTGAAACCTGAGATTAAGAGCTGCATTTTATTATGCATTTCACTTTACAGCAAGGTCCATTAAAATTAGCTGCTTCTGGTGTGAGAGAATTGGCTGTCTGCAAGGATGTTGCCCAGGGGAATCCAGCTGAACTGCTGACCCGAAGGTCAGAGGTTCAAATTACCGAGATGGGGTGAGCTCCTGTCTGTCAGCCCCAGCTGACCATGAGGGGACATGACAGAAGCTTCCCACAGGATGGTAACATATCCGGGCATCCCCTGAGCGAGACAGCCAATTCTCTCACACCAGAAGCGGCTTGCATTGTATTTGGGGGTCGCTTCTGACACGATAAAGAAAAATTAGCATGCTATCATTCCATTAGTAACAGTGAGATTAATATATTATTTAGTGTATTCAATGATGTTTATTAACATCATTTTAACATATTTCTTTTTGGCATTCAAATAGAGCTGATATTTTTAGATGCAATTTATTCGTGTAAGGACGTAAGAGTACAACTTTTACTTTGTCTGGTCGGGAAAAGCTATGTTTACATTAAAAGACTTGAACCAACATACTGGTCCAAGACACAGGATGAAGTAGGGAGAAGTTTGCCAACAGTTGCCAACCTCAGAACAACACAAAAGCTGCCTGTAGCACAGCACTTCAAGGTTTTATTACAGTATTTAGGGAAGGTGTATGCTTACAAATGCTCACTGGTGGTGGGGTGCCGGGTGCTTTTGTAAATGCTATAAATCAAGGAGCAGTATTCTTCAACACGACATATAAACTCCTTTCCACATCATTTTTTAAAAATAATTAAAATACAATGCATTGATTGATTGATTTAGAGAACCTTCACAACTTCTGTCAGTACTGTATGTCCATTGTGGTGATGCCATATGTTCCTAGTGCACTATTTCATCATCAGAAAAATGTGCTTCATTCCTGGAATAAGACTACATGGATCATGCGAAGTGCACCTGTGCATCATGATCTAGCGAGCACCATTTGAAGTAACACCTTTCCCTTCCCCTGTGTCATTTGAATACACATTGAAATATTTCCATTTTTTCCCAATCTATACAGAAGCAGTCTCGTTTAACTTTGCTTTTCCTTTTAAAAAGCAGGAACCAGAAGGAAGACTGGAAAAGTTAGATGGGAGAATCTAAATATAGTCTTCTATATATGCAGTGGTGCAATGGGTTAAACCCTTGTGCGGGCTGAACTGCTGACCTGAAGTTTGAAGGTTCAATCCAAGAGATGGGGTTAACTCCCATCTGTCTGCTCCGGCTTCTCAGGCGGGGACATGAGAGAAGCCTCCCACAGGATAACACATCTGAGTATCCCCTGGGCAACATCTCTGCAGATGGCCAATTTTCTCACACCAGAGATAACATCTAGTTTCTCAAGTCACTTCTGACACAATTTAAAAAATACATGTATATAGAAATTTGTGTTTTATACTTCAATGAGATTATTTTGATTTTTGGAACAATAACCCCATGTCCCTCAATCAGTGGAACTTGGAGTGGATATTTGACCTTCTGATAATGTTGGACTATATGTTCCATCATCCACAGTCAGCATAGTCAAATGTGAGAGATCATGGAAGCAACATCCCGTAACATGTTTTTGTCTATCACTTCGATTTTACCATATGAGTGGCTAAATGTTCCTGATATCCACATTAGAGTAAATCTTATCAGGAAGAGCAGAAACATGAGAAACTAAAAGTAAGGTTTCTCCTTGACATTAAATCTAGTCGTGTCTGACTCTGGAGGGTGGTGCTCATCTCCATTTCTAAGCCAAAGAGCCAGCATTGTCCGTAGACACTTCCAAGGTCATGTGGCCACATGACTGCCTGGAGCACTGTTACCTTCCCGCAGAAGCAGTACCTATTTATCTACTCACATTTGCATGTTTTCGAATTGCTAGGTTGGTAGAAGTTGGGCCTAACAGTGAAAGTTCACCCTGCTCCCTGGATTGGAACCGCCAACCTTTCAGTCAGTAAGTTCAGCAGCCCAGCAGTTTAACCTGCTGCACCACCGGGGGCTCCACTAAAAGTAAACAAACAGGAAAATACTGTACTGTCTCTCAATCGTTTGGATTATGTTCCTTCAACTAGATCTGGGCTTCTGAAACTTTTCCTCTTGTGAGTGCTTTTGACCCGAGAAGATTTTACGTGACCCCAGGTATGTAGGAATACAAAATAAGTATAAAAACCAAACATTTACTGATAACAAATAAGCATTTGCAAGGCTTGATAAATAGGCAGGTTTTTACGGTTGAAGCATTTTTTGTAAACACTGCACAAGAGATTTGTGTAAACGTCTAAACCAGCCACTAGGTGATGTTCAGAAAACGTTTACTGTTGCCAGATGTTTCAGGACCTCCAACACTGAGCTAAAAGGAGTTCATTTGTGGTTGTGACCCACAGTTTAAGAAGCAGTGATCTAGATAATGCATATTTAGCATACAATCCTACTCTCTCACACACTTCCCCTGCCCCAGACACAAATAGCACTCCTTATATAGGTACCTAGGAATCACATATTTTGTATGGAAAAGCCTTCCTTAAGGAGGATTTTTCTCATGTGGAAAAACAGCAATGAATATTAAATATTTTTTCTTTATTTTACTACAATAATTTTATTTACAATCGTACAATTGATCACTGATTTAAATGAGCTACTGGGAACTCAATATTGATCGCTCATCATCCAAGTGGTTCTTATTCTACGATACTTAAATTATAGAGTACCCAAGTAATCTGGAAACTTTTTCTTGTGAGAAATGACTGTGGTTTTTGAATGGATCAGAATGTTATGAGAGTTACTCCATAATTATGTACAGTACATAATCATGGTGAAGTATAGTTTCTAAATATAAATAAGAGGGGAAATAATTTCAATATGAAGTCAAATATTTTATTGAACAATTTTGAAAGTATCTGCAAAGATAGATTGTGTTTTCAACATTTTGTGTTTGCGTATGTGTGTGTGTGTGGGGGGGAGATATCTTTTCATTTTTTCCCCACAAATGTGGTGCCGTCCAGGTCTGCTAGACAGCAACTTCCATGACATACACAGTTTCTACATATGCCTGCACAAATATATTTTCCAAAATCAATGTCATATTTTTGGAAGTAACCATATTGCAGGAGATATATATATATATTTAAGAATCTGTGTTTCAGTAACTGGTTGCTTCTTCAATATGAAAATCACTTATTTGAAAAAAATAGGAAGCGTAGACTCTTCCATTTAATACTGACAGACCTTAACAACCCATCTGCAATATTTTTATGGTGAAAGATCTGAAATAACTAATTTGTCTGACTTTTCTCCAATTTCAGGGAGAGATAACAGTTCATCTGATTCATAGTCATCTTCAAAGGATCTATAAGAAAAGAACAAAGATGTTAAGAATACAGATTGCTGGTATGTATCATTACAAATATCAGGAGGGTTCTCAATTTTAGTGCACTGATCTTACAACTGGTGAAGATAAACAATTACAGGAATACAATGGAGTCTTGTGACCTAAAGGCAACCCATTTTTGTAGTATGTTTGACTTATTATTATTTCAATTCCCCGTTATAAAATATAGAGGAAAATGTAAATAGTAGGCTTAAATGAAGCTCAAGTAACAAAAGCTATAATGATTTGGATTAATCCTAAAGCATAAAATGTAAATGTTTTTCCTTGGCACCACAGTTTTCTATTTCCATTTTTTCTATATACTTATGTGGCTGTATAATGTATTTCTGCCTATACATTATCTGCCTATCCACAGAATATTAAAATATCACTCTCCAGCCACTGCATTTCAGGGCAATTGGGAGGGGAGATCCCACCATTTTGTGGCTGGACTTTGGCTACTTCTAAGTGAGGACAAGCCCTATGAGGAGTGGCTTAAAGAGCTGGGCATGTTTAGCCTGCAGAAGAGAAGGCTGAGAGGAGACATAATGGCCATATATAAATATGTGAGGGGAAGTGATACGGAGGAGGGAGCAAGCTTGTTTTCTGCTGCCCTGAAGACTAGGACACGAAACAATGGAAAGGAGTTTCCACCTGAACATCAGGAAGAACTTCCTAAATGCAAGAGATGTTCAGCAGTGGAACTCTCTGCCTCAGAATATAATGGAGGCTCCTTCTTTGGAGGCTTTTAAACAGAGGCTGGATGGCCATCTGTCAGGGGTGCTTTAAATGCAATTTTCCTGCTTCTTGGCAGAGGGTTGGACTAGATGGCCCATGAGGTCTCTTCCAACTCAATGATTCTATGACATATGTATTGCCCATTTTCCCAGACTCTTCATACAGTTTTATAGGCTTTGATGTGTACAGTTTGTAAACCTGTATTTTTCCACTGCTTTCCCCATCTTTTCTCTAACATGTGTAAGGGATATAGATAGAATATCTGCACATTGCCTTTTTATTGATAGTGTTCAGATCACTCTGTTAGGAAGCACTCTGGCTGAAATAGCACACAGAAGTTTTTCTATAAGGGACAGTAATTCTATAAGGGAAAGATCTGCCTCAAGGCAAACACAGGAGTGAGAAACAACATAGGAAGATGCCATTCAAAATCATCTCAAAGTATGTATGATTCCTACCCCGATTTATATGGTGATAGTAACATGCCTCCCTATTTAGTTTAGTGAACTATAGGTTAACAGATTTGACATGTTGTATACTCAAATCAATTACAAAGCCAGCAAACAAGTATTGACATTTGGGTTTATTTGGTTCAGAATTTGGTAATGTGTCACTTTGTTTATAACCATAGTCACTTCCTCTCTGATATTTTGGACTGATGTACTGATATTCCAAGAGTGATTACTGAGTTACTCATCAGAGACCCTTGTTATAAAGGATCTCTTATTTTGTAAGCTTTATTTTCACAATTTTCTTTGAAACTAATGTTTTTGAGTTTCAAATATATTTGTTTTGAGTAGCAATTATAACCTAGTTTTGTAATTATCAATACTCACCCTTCTTGTAAAGGTTCATTACCAGACTCTTCAGCAACAAGAATTTCATATTCCTCAGCAGCATATCTGTCCCAGTCAGAGGGTTCAGGACCATCATTTTCAACATCCTATAAAAAGAGATGAGAAATGCCAAAAAATTAAACAAATCCAGTTTTATATCAACATTATGTCAAGTATGATTTTAAATATGTATATTTGCAATGCTACGATGCCTTCATTTTTAAAACTAAGCAAATATTTAGTTTGAAATATCATTATGCAAATACATATTGTAGCATCTTAGAGGCTAATTGAAAGAACAACACTGACAGCCTAAGCTTTCTTAAACTAAGCCTACTTCCTCAGATGTATCAGAGGACGCAGTCTATCAAATATTTAATAGAGTTAATATTTAAACATAGAATCAGATAAATTATCATAAACCTCTACCTGAACTATTCCTCAAATATCACAGTGAGTTGACTTTCATGTTATATACTAAATTTCTTGAATTTTAGTTCTTCGGGAAGGAAAGTAGTAAGTATCTAAAGTTACTCTATATACTCATGTGTAAGTCTAACAAGTTTAGGCAGAAAACACATTCAAAAAAATCTGTATCAACTTATCCATGGGTCAGTATTTATTCTGTACTTTTAACTCTTACAAAAAAATAAAGGAACCATCCTCTTCTCTGAGTAAAATGGCAAAAGGCAAGAATTAGTTCATCCCAAGAGAACCTAAAAGAAGCACTGATTCTCTCTACTTTCTTCACCATGGTCTTGCTGGCCTTTTTGAATGTCTGGGTAGGGAAATGGCAGTGGAGGCCAGGGATAGTTGGCCCCCTAAGGCAGCTTTGGTGCTTTCTCCTCCTCCTCCTATTATTATTATTATTATTATTATTATTATTATTATTATTATTATTATTATTATTATTATACACCACTTTAGCTTTCCTCCAGGAGACTCAAAGTGGTTTAACATAAAAGCATCCACATGCAGGGTTGCTGTGAGTTGTATGGCCATGTTCAAGAAGCATATACACTGTTTAATATTTGATTAAACAGTGTAATTGAACATAGGAATACGGAATAATGGATGATGAGACTGGATTCTGATTTTACTGTTGAGGTGCTAATGATTGTTATATGGATGTTTAATGATTTATGTTACAATTATTTTTAATTGTCCTATACTTGTCTTGTGATGTTTTGTATTGATGTTGTTCACTGCTTTGAGTCGCCTGAGGGCTGAGAAAAGTGGTATATAAATAAAGTAAAGTAAATAAATTCTCTCCTGATATTTCGCCCACATCTATGGCAGGCATCCTCAGAGGTTGAGGGTCAGAAAAGTCACAGCAACCCAGTGATTCTGACCATGAAACCCTTCAACAACACTTCAGCATGCAATTTAAAATATACAGATATGCAAACATTAAAATGGGATTAAATATAAACAATATCAAAAATCCCCAGTTAAAAAGCATTAAAACATATTCAGAATTAAAAATCACAGTATCCCCTGACTTGATCTTAATTGACCTTTGATTTATCCATGGGGCATATTAAAATCCACAATGTTGGCACCCAAACCTGCCCTACTTGAGGTCAATTTAAACATGAGTAATAATAATACATAGACACAAAATATCATAGAAACAGAAAACAAATCACTCTTCATATTCCATGTCTACACCCAAACTTGTTCATTCAAATACAGACATTATTTGTTTACACAGAGAGCCTCATTCAGTCAATCAAAGATGTGAGGGAATATCCACTGCTCTTGGCAGGTGGTTGGACTGGATGGTCCATGAAGTCTCTTCCAACTCTATGATTCTATGATTCATCTGTTGACATAAAGCATACACTGGTACTTCTGCATTGGAAGAGATGACTGCCCCGGGGTGAAGGTGTGTTCAGTCTGAACAATATGCATTAGAGGTACTGCTCTGTTCTTTTTACATTTAAAACTTTGAATAGCGAAAAGAAACCACAAAGCCGCCATCACTTGATCTTTTTAAAGCAGTTGAGTAACAATACAGGTATTGCCTTAAAGCAAGATTGGTCATCATGACTCTTTAGTACATGTTGAACTGAAACTTCCAGTATGCGTAGACTATGAGAATGAAGGAGGATCGCATGAGTTACAATCCAATAACATTTTGGGGATCATAAATATCCCACATTACCTTAACTAAAAAAATTAGTGCAGTTTTAGGGCTCTTTCATATCAGAATTATAGCCCTATGATGATACTTTAGTGTCATGGAAATTAGATCAGCCCCCTTCCTTTTAGCCTTCAGAAGGAAAGTAAAAACCTGGCTCAGGGATCAAGCTTTCGGAGAATAACGCAGTGCAATAGACTTGGAATATGCACAATGATGATGGAACAGCCTTGGACTACGATTTCTGGATGGCATGATTTTAATATTGAATGTAATGTTTTAAATGTATTAATTTTAAATCACATTTATTTTTAAAGCTTAATATTTTATATGTGTTTTAAGGCATTGAATAACTGCCATATGTAAGCCGCCTTGAGTCTCCTTCAAGTTAGAGAAAGGTGAGATATAAATAAAGTAAGTAGGTAAGTAAATAAATAAATAAATAAATAGATAATATCGTATTTATTTCATTTCATTTCATTTCTACCCCGCCCTTCTTCCCACAAAGGGGACTCAGGGTGGCTTCACATAAGCATCAATGATGCTATCAACATATTCAGTTAAAACAGTAAAACTCAATTTACAACATTCTACAATACATTAACAAATTAATTAACATGCCGCAAAAACCAAGATCCAGCCAGGTAAATCCAATGTCGCAATGTTCAAAAATTTCCTATCCAAGTTGCCACTAACCTCTAGTCGAATGCCTGGTCCCAAAGCCAAGTCTTCAGTTGTCTTCTAAAGGACAGGAGGGAAGTGGCCAACCTGATGTCCTTAGGGAGAGAGTTCCACAGGCGGGGGGCCACTGCCGAGAAGGCCCTGTCTCTCGTCCCCACCAACCGCATTTGCGAAAGTGGTGGGATCGAGAGCAGGGCCTCTCCTGATGATCTTAAGTTCTGTGATGGTTCATAGCATTGTGGCATTTGCAATTTAGGTATGAATGCTAAGAATTTTCAGTGAAAGCGCACCAGTGCCTCACCATGGATTCCACTGGATGTGACCATGGATATATAGTGTTATAACTATGTAGTGTGGATGATCTTTGCTTCCTTTAGTTCCCAACACCATCTCAGATATGTCTAGAAATTATGGACATCTAAACTCAGAAAAGAGACACTTGTTCAAGAATATTATTTTATAGAAACTATGTTTTGAAATAGAGCTGCCTTATACCTTTTGCACAGCAAAGGGATCCCGTTGTTCATTATCCAGGTACTTTTCCAGATTGAAGAACGTGTTATAAAATACATGAGCCATTCTGCATCTCTTCAAGTCTCGCAGAGTTACCCGTCCTGCAAGATTAGCATAGATTTATTTCAGCAGCAGTGCAGAAATCCTCTGTGAAGGGTGGGACCACAAGGCCTGTGGATCTCAGGTAAAAAGGCAACTAATATTTAAAAATCTGTACAAGAGGGACTGGTTCACATATCCTTTCAGACACATTCATGCATCTTTTTAGAAGAGGGAACTTTCAAAACAGGTTGCTTTGTCTTGTTGACTCAGGGCTCTTCCACACAGATAATCCAGAATATCAAAGCAGAAAATCCCACAATATCTGCTTTGAACTTTCAGGAATATAGGTCAGAAGATAAATAAAGTTGTTGTTGTTGTTGTTGTTGTTATTGTTTACAAGATTTTATTCAAACTCACCAGCAGTACAGAGAAGCTTTATTACATAAACTGCTCTTACCCTCAAAATCTGGCTTTACTAGATCGAGTATTTGACACAGTAAATCATGGAATGGCAATGGCTCAATGCCCATGGATTCCATCCTCTCACATTGTTCCTCATAAAAATACTCCAGTTCATACATAGACAGCATGCCATCCCCATCCAAATCCATGCATCGGAACCAGTATTCAATACTAGAGGGAGGAAAAAGAAACGAGTCTTATTATTTTCTTTGTACTGTTGGAACAAACTGTATTTTTAAACAAAGAACCTTATTGAATTGGCTTTCATGCACACAGTGAAGCTTTGTCAGGACTCTTTCCTCATGTAGTGTCTTCCATTGGAAAATGATATTTAGAATTTGAGTTCAGACAAAAAATACACCCAAGCTGCTCTTTGTTCCTGAAAACATATCTTATTTATTCCAGCTACTTATAAATATATACTGGTATACACTTTACTGCTCATACTTTTTTATATTTTATGGCTTGTCTTACCTAGTTGGGCTTCTTTTGTCTTCCTCAGAAATCAGGAGCCACACAAAGTCTGCATAGCTCATCTGGTTCTCCTTCTGTACTTGAAGTCCTCTGAAATACATAAAGAATATATAGTGAAATATCAAATGATCATGCAAATAAATACAATTATAGATGAATTTCAAAAAGCCACATGCCTGCACATTATAATTATATTTTACCTTCCTCGGCATTATAGAGTGCTTTTAATTGTTTTTGATAATTTTATGTCTGACAAGGACTGACTTGGGATTATTTTAATGGGTTATCTATATTGTTATAGAGCACCCGGTGACACAGTGGATTAAACCACTGAACTGCTGAACTTGCTAACCAAAAAGTTGCAGGTTGGAATCTGGGGAGCATCGTGACATTCTGATGTGAGCCCCAGCTTCTGCCAAACTAGCAGTTCGAAAACATGCAAATGTGAGTAGATCAATAGGTACCGCCACCAGCAGGAAGGTAACGGCACTCCATGCAGTCATGCCGGCCACATGACCTTGGAATTGTCTACAGACAACAGCAGCTTAGAAATGGAGATGAGCACCAACCCCCAGAGTTGGGCATAACTGGACTTAATGCCAGCGTAAAACTTTTACTTTATATTGTTTTTTTATCTATTGTTGTAAATCACCTTGAGTCCTTGGAGAAAGGCAATATAGAAATGGCCAAATAAATAATTTTTTGAGGCACATCCGTTAGATGTTTGAAAATACTTCAAAGATTCAGTTCCTGGAAATGCATTCAAGCTAGTGTTTACCCATTCCTGATTCTCTGAAAATCAACACACTTTAATTTGAAAGAACAATTTGAAGTAATATCTTCCTAATTTCACCAATATTATCTCTTTGAAATGAAGGGAGCCTTTCCACAACATTGGCTTCAATTTATCCATAGGTCATATCAAAATCCATAATTTTGGCCCCAAAACCTACCCTTGACTTATAGATGAGGTTGACTTATATGTGAATATACGGTACATTTATATACTGAACAAATGTCTCCAGATAATGACCCATTATAATCTTTGAATGATAAAATATTATTGTAAATATAGCTAATATACTGATAAGGATAAGACTATTGCTAATGGCTAGAGCAATAAAGCGCATGTCACCCACTCAAGCTGTGATATCTCAAACTGATTTTTGTTGTTTTTGCTTTGTTTTCTTGATACTGAAGTCAGAATCACTGCCTGAGACTTCCGAAGGCAAGCTGTTTAGGGAGAAGGGCAGTTGCAAAATGCATCTGAACTGTTTGTTTTATATTTTGACCACTACTGATAAAAAATATTAGCCTTAGAAACTGAACTAAAATAAATGTAATATAAGCTTGTGGGCTGTGTTCTTACCTTAGTACAGCTCCACTGAATATTCTTTCTATAATCCTGCTTGAGAGAGCTGCAGATGAAAATACAGGGGTTAGGAATAGTTTAAATTCTTGAGAAGATTTTTTCCTATAAGTCAAAATACTGCCGCTATTTCTTCTACGTAAAAGTGGTATCTTTGCAGAAAAATCACCACACTTTGTGCCAGCTTATATCACACCATTTAATAATACTTCTTTATACTTGTTGTTGTTTCCTCGTCCACACATATGTAAGATCTATAAAAAAAACTTCTAGCAGCCCTCTCCCGCTGTTAAACAATGCAAAGCAGTATGATTTGTTCAGAAAAATCAACCCCCATTTATATTCATTAGACATGTGCGCAAAATTCATTCCTACAGTTTCTACCATTTCTTTGGTGTCTTCTGTGTATTTGGAAGCATGAAACTGGAAGCCCCCTCCCCACACAAAAGCCACCCTACATCCTGTTTTCATGTGAATCGGAACTTGCCTCCTTGCCTTGGTAAGTGAGTGCATGTATGGCGGGGCGTACAGGGAGGCCCAGAGCTTGGCTGCGGGCACGCTCCGGGCCTGCCTGCATGCCCCGCCACACATGCACTCTCAGACTGTGTGGCAGGGCATGTGTGGTGGGGCGTGCAGGCAGGCCTGGAGCATACATGCAGCTGAGCATCTCTTACTCTAGAGTAAGAGGTGTTCAGCTGCAGGCACTGGCAGGCATGCATGCTTTCTGGGCCTGCCTGTATGCCCTACCACACATGCACACTCTTTCTAAGAGTGAGTGCATGGCTGCCAGTGTCTACAGCTGAATGCCTCTTACCCAATAGTAGAAACAACAGGTGCCAGGTAAGAAGAATGCATGCCAGGAAGGAAAGCCAGTGGATGGGAAGCCCCTGCCCCCATAATGATCTGATTTTCGGGCCCTGAATCAAAAGAACCAAAAACAACCCTCCCAATTTCGAGAGACTTACAAAAATGGATCAGGGGCCCTAACGAAAGCCGGGACATTAAATGGGACAAGGTTTTCCCTGAATGCACATGTCTAATACTCATCAACCTAAAGAAAGCTTAAATTGATTCCATTGCAATCCTTACAGGTTGTAATGATGATTAATTAAAATTAATTCATTGGCATCTTTTTTTCTTGTATACAGAAGTATACAAAAGCAAGAAAACAATGACTATAGAACCAAAACAACAAACAACAGGAATAAAACCATCGGTATGCCAATATTTGAAACAGATCCCATGAAAAGTCTAGGAGTAAAGAAACAACTTAACCTGGCATAGGAAGGATGATCATATTGAATCTGGAGAAGAGGACGGAGGGAAGGGGAGAAGGGATCTTTCAGAGAATAATTTTGGACCATACCCTAAAAGGCCATATCCCTTGTCACCACCCCTTAAGTGTCTTTGAAATAAGGCACTTTGGGAAGAAGAGATGTCACATTTGCTAATCTGTGAAGCCTATAAAGCATTATATGTGAGAATACTAATTTCATGCATATGTTTCTCTTGAATACAATCTCTTACCTTGATCATTGTATCTAGCCAAATCCTTCTGGCTGATGTAGAGGTCATGGTCGGTGTCCAATTCCCAGAATTTACAGTATATGACGTAGAAGTGCTCATAAGAAAAATAATCAGTTATTTGATTAATGTCTTCCTCTTCCTCCAAGAGGGCTAGGGTCTGAAAAAAATGAGAATGGGTTGATGCTAACCAGAAGGTGCTTAACAAAAACCACACACTTTGACCAAGAAGTATCAGAGGGCCCTTCCACACAGCCATATAAACCAGAATGTCAATGCAGAAAATCCCACATTATCTGCTTTGAACTGGAATATATGGCAGATATTGTAGATTTATCTGCCTTGATATTCTGGGTTATATGGCTGTATGAAAGGGCCCAGAGTCTCTGACTAGAAAGCTGCTCTATGTCTCAATCTTCATTATCATTAACAATTCACTTTAAGCAAGAAAATAATTATACAGAAACCTAAATATACACGTCAATAAAACATACCAAAGTTGCTTTAAAAATGTGTGTCATATTTTGGAACACCCATATATGACTACATTCTGATATACTGTGTTGACTCCATCTATTGTTTATGTTCATTGTAAACAAAGAAAGGATTTACATTCCTTTTAAGGAGAACCCAAACTGGAAAAAATGATATGGTTGTGCTCCCTAATCTGCTTACCATAAGAAAGTATTTAGGAACCTATTTGCTAATAGGTTGCTGGGTACACGACTAAAGGTTTAGCTACTCCATACAGTGACCAACTTCTTGGTCCGTGTAGCGTTCTTCTTGAATGACTTCTGTGTGCCTGAATATTTATATATATATAAAAATATAAATGTATGTAAGTATATGTGTGTGTGTTTGTGTGAGAGAAAGAGAGAGAGAGGCTTGTCTCAGGCTCCCCATTCATTTCTAGCATGGCGCTCGATTTTGAGTGAGGATTTAGGAGCGTCTGCAAGGAAAATATAAACTGTTCCACCAGGACAGAATTCCTCCTGTAACCCTTGTACTCCTAGCATCTATGACTGAATGTTGAGCATAAGAAGTGGAGTATCAGCAGTGGCAGAAATAGATCATAGTCATCATGTTTGTGCTCCAGCCTCAGATATGACTCATTTTCCCTTTTATGCATGCATTTTTCCTTGTGGGCCTTAAACTCCTTTCTCCCACCTCCTTGGTAGTGTTTCAAACATGTCCTAGGAAGGCTGTATGTGCTTTTTAAAGGCTCCTCTGTAGTATGGGTTCTCCTTCCACCCTTTGTGTGTTATGTTCGCAAGTATAAGAAGACCCAAACCATTGCCTGGGGATTTGCAGGAATGTGGGTCATCAGAGAAGTAGTGTTCTGCATGGTGTGTATAGTACTGAAGAGGTGTGTAGTTGAACTATGTGTCTGTTTATTGTCTCTGTTTGTATGGAAGCAACCAACATGTGGTTGCAATTACCAGCACAATCCCAGACTCACTGTTGCCAGAGTCAATAGAGGGAATATCTTTTAATGCTGTTTTTGTTGTTTATTGGTTGTGTGTTTTTCCCTTTCCTCCTGAACTTTATGTGTGTAGGGACATTGGCTGTTCCAACAGCATAGTAATGGTGTATCTCCCCCATCTCTGGTGTAACTGGAGTACAAGATTTCTTGGCTTTGCTGGCCAAGACAAAGCAATGCTCTGAATATCTGATCTGATTTTGTCAACATTAGTACTTATGCCAAATTAGAAACTTGCCAAGTTATTCAGACTGCACTGTACTTTTACAACTTAATCCAAGTACAAAACGGAATCTTTCAAAGAGGTTAAAGGAACAATGACTGTTTTAGAAATTCTTGCTGCCCATATGAATCCAGATAGTTTACATACTTGCAAAAAGTTACTTTTCCTCAATTCTGTTAGAGATATTTTTCCAGACCAGGATCTATTCACAGTGTAAAATATTCTTTGGATAACCTAGAGAAAAGGAAATGCAAGTCTCAAAATAATTTTCAATTCAGAAGTTGACTTATAGCTACTGTGGATTTATTGTTGTTGTTGCTGTTCATGCATTCTTAACGATATCTAAATTATCTAATTTATGTACTTAGGAAACAAACAGATTCATGCATTAAAACATTTATATTTTAATTTTTAAATTACAATTTGACAAGACAGATTAACAACACTATGGCATAATGTAAAGTCACATGTAGTTCACATTTGATCACTCCACACACTGTCTTGCCAGAGAAAGAAAACATGCCATGCAGATGATCAACAAGTAGTTTACTCTTCGTAATACAGAACAACAATATATACAATCATGTGATCAGTTGCATCAACTCACATAATATCCTTTTAGAGAGATTTAAAATGGTCTTTCGATGTCTATGTGGAGAAACTCCTTCCAGTAGCTCATGAAGCAAGAGCACACTCTAAACTGTCTCTCTGTGTCTGCAAGTACCTGCACAGCTCAAGCCTGAAAATGTAACAGTAACCAAAACTCCCAGGCTCAGCTAGCTCCCTGAATATGACCTAACCAATCAGCTTTGTGCATCCTATTTTACAGTTAACACACACATACCAACTGATCTCTTATATGCCCTAACAAAAACTCCTAAAACCATAATACATTTTAAAATTGTATTCAGAAATACAAGTAATGCTCCTAAGATCAACGCAACTAACAAAACAAGAAAAGAAAATAATTCCAAAATTGGAAGACCTCCCACTTTGGGGGGGGGGGGGAGAGGAGGGAGAAGTGTTTTTGCTTAATATCCGAAAGCCAGGAAAAGATGAAGCAAAATGGCCCTCCCTAGGAAGGGCTCCAGGGGACAATATGCTGAGGTGTGGAAAAACCCAACTGGAACATTTAAGTAGGGTATCCTCCTTCCACCTTCACACAGTGTAGCTATTGATGAAACTGCTGAGCAGACTATGTACTCTTATCCTTAGATACAGTTCTTGTCGTACTCCTTCAAGTTATTACCAAACTGTGGTAACCCTATCATAGGGTTTTCTTGTCAAACTTTATTCAGGAGTGGTTTGCCTTCAACTCTCTCCCTCTGAGGCTGAGAAAGTGTGGCTTTCCCAAGTGGCCAAGCAGGAATTTGAACCCTGGTCTAAAGTTGTAGTTCAGTACTTAAACCACTACGTCATGGATGCTGTCTTTAGATCAGGCTTGCATAACCTGTGGCCCTCCAATTGTTTTGGCGTCCAAGCCCCAGAAGCACTAGCCAGCCTATCCAATGGCCAGGAATTCTGGGAGTTGGAGGCTAAGACAACTGGAGGACTGCAGGTTGTGCCAGCCTGCTTTAAACAGACCCATTGAAATAAATGTTGTGTGCCTTCAAATAGTTTCCTACCTATAGTGACCTTAAGGCAACCCTATTTTCTTGGCAAAATTTGTTCAGAGGGAGCTTGCCATTGCTTTCCTCTGAGACTGGAAGAACATGACCTACCCATGGGCATCCATTACTGAGCTGGGATTCAAACCCTGGTCTCTCAGTATCACAGTTAGTCAAAACTAATTCAAGTTCCATTAATTTCAGTGAGTTGGCTATAGGTAGGACTCATTTTTGATTCAGCCCAGGTTTAGCAACCATATAGGCTTCCAAGATGTAGTTGGATTACAGTACCCAGCATTTCTCATTGTGAAGAAGGCTCTTAAGACTTGCAGTCCAACAGCATGGGTGCCTCATTTAGCCCTATGTAAATATCCACTGTACCGGTGGGTGAGCTGGGACAGATCTTAATACGTAGTTAAGCAAGGATGTATGGAAAGGGCAGTTCATATCACAGATGATCCCAACTATCATTGTGGACTATAACTTCCATAATCTATAAATAGCTTAAATGTTTTGCTGTTGGGAAGGTGGGAGTTATCCCAAACAACCCGAGCGTGGTGGAATACGAAAACCATTGGTGAATGCATATACCACATTTAGTAAATATTTTAGGGTGAGTCAAATAAAAAAGAAAATATAAAACAAATATGTAACTGAGCCATAATCAATAGAACATCAGAAGAAATAATACTTTAAGGGCCCTTCAACACAGCCATACAACCCAGAATATCAAGGCAGAAAATCCCACAATATCTGCTTTGAATTGAGGGCCTGTCCAGACAGTACCTTAATCCCAAGAGCTTCCGCAGAAAACAGGAGGGTGGCCAGATGCCATTCCCTGTAAATGTAGAAGCAATCGCTACAAAAGGCAAAAAACGTGGGATTTCCACTTGCAGGAATATAATGGTTTTGAACTGAATATGCGGATCTTCGCATGTCTGCATGTCCCTGTGATCAGAAATCACGGGATTTTTTTATCTGGGTTTGTTCCTGGGTTTTAGATGTTTGTTCCTGATTGGTTGGTTTCTAAAAAGAAGGTGACACTTGAGTTGAAGGCAAAAACTTTGTTTGTGTGCCAGAAACTTCAGGAAACATGTGAAGGGCACATTTTCCCTGACCAGGACAAAGTTGTGGCCTCCTAGTCAATGTTGTACATATTTCTGCAAGGAAAGCAATCAGGAACAGCCACGTATAACCCAGAAACAGCACCCTGTTGTTTGATACCACAAGTACACAACCAAATCTTTCTGGACAGATAGCCAGGCAGCCAGGCTCTAAAAAGTGTCAGTAATGACAAAGTTCTGTTCCTGGCTTGAAAGTGTGTGTTCCTGTTTGATTGTGCAGTGCGGACTTGGACAGAAGAGGTCCTACACCATAAATTTTGTTTGTGTGGCAGCTAGTTCATGAAACATGTGGAGGGCACAGTTCCTCCGGCCAGGACAGAGAATGGAACTTTTGCAGTGATTTGCTGCAGTGATTCTCTGCATATCCTCATTTTGAGAGTTTTTAAATAGAAAAAAAAGTTTCTGGTGGAAGTCCTGTGGCGGACATCTCGCAACAAAGCATCAAGTCTGGACAACAGAGGCAGAAATCCTGAGAACAAGTCCCTGGATTCCCCCCCCCCCCATTTAAATCTCGTGATTTAATGCACCCTGGAAGCGCCCTGGGTTATCTGAGTTCACACTGCCATATATTTCAGTTCAAAGCAGATAATGTGTGATTTTATTCAGCTGTGTGTAAGGAGCCTAAAACTCATCAAATTACCCTTCAAAGGCCAAGAAATCAAGAAAGGTCCACTTTGCACTGGGAAGCCAAAAAGGCAAGTAGCAGGTAAAGAATCCCTATCAAGAAAATCCTGAAGCAGGATCATAACAAAACAGGCACACTCTTCTGCTGCCTCCGACGTCACCTGAGAAGACTTCTAAAGATGCTCTCAGTGTCCAGTTCAATGGTGTAGGAGTAGTGCATCCCTTGGAAATCGGGGATCTAAAGTTAGGCATTTGTACTTGGAAGTAAGACCAGGAAAGGTGCCAGCTGTTTAAGCTTCTGAAAGCCTTCCCAAAAACCACTCCCAGTTATTAAACTAGCAGCTCCATTTGGGGCCAAAAACAGTTACTCATCTTCAAAAGCATGCTTCGATTGTAGGCAAAGGAATGGTGTAACATTATATAAGGTGTATTCAATTGTATGGTGTAACATTATATAAGTTGGGATTACTTACTATCATTGCGAACAACTTAGCAATGGCTACGGAAAAGCAAATAGGATGCAAATGAAAACAAAGTGATTGAAGCAAAATATTATATTGCCACCACCTTGCTTTCCTTTCCTTGTAACTCTGGCCTCAAAACATATAATAAAACCTTGCTTACAGGCATAGTGAACATGCAGCCAACTTACAGTAGTAATGTAGCGGGAATGGAATTCGGGAGCATCCTTCAGAAATGTCAGTCCAGGGTGAGTTTCAACTATATCCTGAAAGATATACAAGTTTGTTGAATGCAGACAAGTTAAGAAAGTTAACAAAATGTAAGTTAAGTACAGTCTAGACCAGGCATGGGCAAACTTGGGCCCTCCAGGTGTTTTGGACTTTAACTCCCACCATTCCTCACAGCCTCGCTAGGCGAGAAAGTGAACCGCAGCATCCTCCTACCTAAAGCCACATGTGTTTTCTGCAATATTACAGCTGTCTGAAGGTTACATGTACCTGTAGTAATGGTATGAAATCTTCTTGTTCCAGATAGTTATAGTTGGGTTTGGCTAAAAGGCAAATGAATTTTGATGCATCATCGTGACAGTTATGTAATATCCTGCAAAGGAAAAAAAACAAGACTGTAAAAGTATTCCTAGCATTTTTAGTTCCCAAAGGAACAAAAGCATGCTGTTTTCCAGAGACTGAAATGTTACTCTGGAAAAGTAATCAAAGCAGCAGCAAGGTTATCATCTGTTATTATAGTTGCGCTAGTCCCAGAAAACATACGCTGCTGGAATAACTCATGAGGTGTTACTAAGGAATGTGTATTAATGCATGTACTGGTATCAAAATATCATAGAATCAAAGAGTTGGAAGAGACCTCATGGGCCATCCAGTCCAACCCCCTGCCTAGAAGCAGGAATATTGCATTCAAATCACCCCTGACAAATGGCCATCCAGCCTCTGCTTAAAAGCTTCCAAAGAAGGAGCCTCCACCACACTCCGGGGCAGAGAGTTCCACTGCTGAACGGCTCTCACAGTCAGGAAGTTCTTCCTAATGTTCAGATGGAATCTCCTCTCTTGTAGTTTGAAGCCATTGTTCCGCGTCCTAGTCTCCAAGGAAGCAGAAAACAAGCTTGCTCCTTCCTCCCTGTGGCTTCCTCTCACATATTTATACATGGCTATCATATCTCCTCTCAGCCTTCTCTTCTTCAGGCTAAACATGCCCAGTTCCCTAAGCCGCTCCTCATAGGGCTGAAATTTTCCATCTACAGGCAGTCCCCAAGTTACAAACAACATAGGTTCTGTAGGTTTGTTCTTAAGTTGAATTTGTATGTAGGTTTGTTCTTAAGTTGAATTTGTATGTAAGTCAGAACAGATACATTTTTTAGTGGCCACAGTAGTCGATGCTCTGGTTACATCCCGAATAGACTACTGCAATGTGCTCTAAATGGGGTTGCTTTTGAAGACTGTTGGGAAGCTCCAATTGGTCCAATGGCCAGCAGCCAGGTTGTTTACTGGAACATACAACTCCTCTGTCACGCCAGCTCCACTGGCTGGCAGTCTGCTACTGAGCACAATTCAAAGGGCTGGCTTTAGCCTATAAAGCTCTTAAACAATTCTGGCCCAGCTTACCTGTCTGATCGTATCTCCCTCTATGAACCATCACGGAGGTTAAGATCGTCTGGGGAGGCCCTGCTCTTGGTCCCACCTGCTTTGGAAGTATGACTGGTAGGGACGAGAGACAGGGCCTTCTCAGTGGTAGCCCTTCGCCTATGGGACTCCCTCTCTACTGAAATTAAATCAGCACCCTCCCTTTTGGTCTTCAGAAAGAAAGTAAAGACATAGATGTGGGACCAGGCTTTGGGCAGTAGCAATGCAAAAAACGTAAGGCATTATGTGCAATTTACTTTTGGAAAGCCCTCAGACTTCGGCTTCTGGATTATGTGATTTTAATGTTTTATATTAATATGTTTTAATTCCATGTTTAAATGTCTAGATGTTGTTGTTTCACTGTTTAATTTGGTTTCTTTTAATTTATAGTTATATGTTACCATTGTTTTATACTAGGCTTTTTATATTTTGTAAGGTGTTAAATTTTGCTGTGAATTTGTTGGACACCGCTTTGAGTCCCCCTTGGGGAAAAAGTGATATATAAATGAAGTAAATAAATAAATAAAATAAACTCCATTACGCGCGTGTGTGTGTGTGTATGTCTGGAGTTGCACTTAAAAATGTATACTTTGTGTAGTATAAGAAAGGGTTAACACCCCTGTGGTGTTTCTTTTGCTGTCTGTGCCCCTGTTCAGAAGATGCCACCGCACTTTCCATCCCTGTGATCATTGAATTTTGAAAAATTTGGCTTGTTGTGGAAACAAGTATTAGTGAGAAAGTTTCAGTGGCGACACCATTTCCACATGATAACTCTTTCAGAAGTTTTTTCTTCTTCTGAGGAGTAGACGTCTCTCACTTCCCATTGTCTCACCTCTGTTCTTAACTAGGATAGGAATTGTTTGTAAGTCGTATGTTTGTAACTTGGGGACTGCCTGTATATGCTAAGGGGGAGGAGAATGCAAAATGACAAAAAGAGCATGTGCAAGCAAACCTGGATAAATATAACATTTATCAGTTCAACTGACAGATGTATTTAAATAAAGGGTTGTACTACAGAGGAAAATGGTGATAGTATTTTTAAAACTGGGCTTAAGGTATATAGCTGAAACACAGAAAACAAACACTGAAAACACAAGCAAGCCAGACAGCTGCTTCTCCAAGGAGCTTTCTTTGTGTAGCATACTCACTTTCTCCACATGGCCACAAATGAATGTACAGATACAAATCCTGTTCGCTCTCCTCCTGATGCATTGAACATGGGTGCTTTCCAATATAGGGGGCAGCAGCATATCTATAAACAGGGCAGGATATAAAGTACTTAGCTAATGTCCTGGGGAAAGTACGCTTCTTTTTGAGGATGAGAAGATAAAATTAAAAATAGAAAATGAAATGCAGGATAGTGTTTATGAAAGAAGCTCCCAAAGAAGATGTATTTTTAGTTTAGTCTAAATAGACTTACATTCTAATTCTTTGTTTACTCTGAGGTAAGTATTATTTATTAAGTATTATTTTATTCTGTTTAAACATTCAAAATGGCACTTTAAATGCAATTGCCATTCATAAGGCTTTTGTGCTCATCCAGAAAGAGCAAATCATTTGACATGCTATGGTATGTTGTAGCACAGTTCTTGGAATTTTCTGAATATCCAAATGAAGGTTCTATTGTCCTGGATTATTTTCTGGCAATTCCCAGCACCAGTTGCAACATGTACTACAGCTGCAGGGGCTCTGGTAGCACAGCGGGTTAAACCGCTAGCTGCAAGAAAGCTGCTGACCAGAAGGTTGGCAGTTCGAAGGCGCAAGTGGGGGTGAGCTCCTGACTGTCAGCCCTAGCTTCTGCCTACCTCGTAATTTGAAAGCAATGCGAGTTTTTGTTGTTGTGTCAGGAGCAACTTGAGAAACTGCAAGTTGCTTCTGGTGTGAGAGAATTGGCCGTCTGCAAGGACGTTGCCCAGGGGACGCCTGGATGATTTGATGTTTTTATCATCCATGTGGGAGGCTTCTCTCATGTCCCCGCATGAGGAGCTGGAGCTGATAGAGGGAGCTCATCCGCCTCTCCCTGGATTTGAACCTGCAAACTGTCGGTCTTCAGTCCTGCCAGCACAGGGGTTTTACCCACTGCGCCACTGGAGGCTCAGCAATGCAAGTAGATCAATAGTTACTACCTCGGTGGGAAGGTAAAAGGGCACCCCATGCAGATATGCAAACATCAGAGATGTCTATGGAAAACAGGCTCCTTGGCATGGAAAAAATGAACAAGAGCACCTCCTCCTGGCCAGAGTTGAGCATCACCTCCAGGCACCAGAGATGGAAAAAGGGAAAGGCCTTTTGTCTGTGTTGTATGTCATTGTTCACTGTGTTTAAAAGGCATTGAATGTTTGCCTCCTATGTGTGTTGTAATCGTTCTGAGTCCCTCCAGGGAGATAAAGTGCAATATAAATAAAATGCATTATTATTATTATTATTATTATTATTATTATTATTATTATTATATTCCCAACAACAGACAGATTTTTTAAAAAAAAATCTAAGACATATTGGACCAAAATAATACCATTCTCTTCTCCTCTGTTTTCAATTTTTCTTTAAAAAGCATACTAGTGTTATAACTAATCTGTGATATAGCACTTATGCACTATAAGACTGTTTTTTTAGTAGCGAGAACAGAAAATTTGCCCTTCAGACCATAGGACCAGCTCAGCAATCCATGTCCCAGTATTTAAAAAATATTAGGACCAATCCTAATAGAGAGCAACACTTGAAAAAATATGAAGTGTGGAGGCAGAGGTGATGATAATCAGTAAACCCCAAGGAACTATATTGCAAGAATGCATATGTTACCTATGAGCAAAGTCCTCCATCCATAACATTCTCAAATATAGGTCTTTTTTGTCTGTTTTATACTTTACTTTCTCCACATAAGGAAGTGTCTTATTGATCACTGCTACTAGTATGCCACCATGTGAAGGGTCATGGAAAAGGCTAATGCAAGTTCAGCAAAAGAAAAAGTGAACAGCTCAGCTAAAGACATTGCATGCTACTTCTTTTGACTATGCCGAAGTTTCACACCACACACACAGATGCCTGTCCCATGGAGGAATAAAAGTACTAAAGGCAAAGATGCATATCTGTGATCATGCAGTTGGAAAGTACTACTTAAGTGATTGTGGTCACCTCCAGACAAACAACTCCTAACGCTACCAGTGAGGAGACAATGCACAGCTGTCCTGCTATTCCCTCCTTAATGGCTTTTTTGTGGAAACAAGAGCATGGAAGCAATGATGGGAAAACTTGGAAAGGTTACAACTGAAATATGATGTCATCTAGACCTCACATGAAATTCCATGCTTAAGGGAGGATGACTGCACCATAAAAAGCCTTGCCTGAAAACACACTGTGTCTTTTCTGTCTCCTGTCTTTCTCCATATCCTTGGTTCTGAGGAATATTTTAAGGATCATGTAGACCCCAATGCTGGAAAGCTTTTAATAATTTTTTTAAAAAATCATGAAAGTCAAATTGACAGAAATTGGTGGGGAGAAAAACTTTGTCATCATCTGCTTTAGACCAACAAAGAAACGTAGAAGCATCTGTTTTGTTGCATCTGATTTTATCAGAAAGGCAAAATGCAGCCTGTGCTATGATGACACAAAAACAATATTTTGGTGGGATTTTGTTCTTACTATAAAAACCTAATTAAACTCAGACTAGTTCACTACTACTATTAATTAATTTTATTGTTATTACTATTAATGGTAAAATACTAAAAAGCATACCAAAACAATCCCCAAAACCAATGAATATAAAAGAAAAAGAAAAAGAAACCACGTATAATAACTTGAACTAGAAAGATTTCAATTTTGTTGCATAAAGGTACAAAGGCCGGCTGCTTGAACTCTGATCACACTTTACTTTTCCACAAGACTAGTTAAAGTGCTGAGGAGAAAGCAAACTCATCCAAGAGACTGCCACTGCTTCGTACCTTGTTGCCTCCTACTGAGCAGAGCGCAGCAGATTCAGTGGTTCCTTAATGATCTTATCAGTAGACAGGTATCCTTCCGAGAAAGAAAGCTGACCAATAAAAAATGCAAGCCTCACAAGAATACATCTCAATGGTCACTCAGAGATGAACACTTCTACTATAGCACCTTGAATAGTGCTACACAGGGTTGCTTTTATGTTGCTTAGGCATTTGTTAATAATTTCATCTATTTGTTAACTAAGATAAAGGTTTCCCTTTGACATTAAGTCTCGTCGAATTCAACTCTGCGAGATGGTGCTCATCTCTATTTCTAAGCTGAAGAGTTGGTGTTGTCCACCTTCTACATCATGTGGCCGGCCTGACTGCATGGAGCACGGGTATCTTCTCGCCGAAGTGGTACCTATTGATCTACTCACATTTGCATGTTTTCGAACTGCTAGGTTGGCAGAAGCTGGGGCTAACAATGGGAACTCACCCTGTCCCATGGATTTGAACCACCAACCTTCCAGTCGGCAAGTTCTGTGGCTCAGCAGTTTAACTTGCTGGGTCACTGCATTTGTTAGTTGCTTCTTCAGAAAATATTTTTTTTTCTTTGTAAACAATCAAGCTTTGAAGAAATTCCTGAGGGATTGCTGTATTAGTCTTTTGGAACAAAACAATGAAGAGTGGCATGGCATCTTGTAGAATGGTGACCTCTTTTTGGACTGCAGATCTGCTACTTTTAGCAACACTGTCTAGGGCTGATAGAAGTCATTGGTCAAAAACAACTATTTTAGACCAATGTATTATTATGGCATAACCTTTCATGCACATAGAAAAAACCCATAATGCCATAATTAATCTGCTACGCTGAAATTGTTGTTAAATGTACTGTTGTTTTAGTTTTGGACAGTCTTGCAAACCCAGAAGGATGAAAATAACAATGCTTACCTTGGCAATTTTCCCCATTTCATTAAGGGGGGCTCGCTCATCTTCAAATTCTGAAAAGGCTGCCTCAACCTTTACAATGGTCTCCTCATGATTGTTGCAAACATTGGGGAGTCCACTGGGGAAGTAGAAGCGTGGAATGTTTATGGACAAAGGGGCAACGACAGTTACTTTAGTGGTTGGTAGAAGCGACTGTGGGCTGACAGCTGAATTCGCAGGGACTGGAGATGGAGTCACAGGTTTTTTCTCTTGCTTGTTTTGGACCTAGAAAGGTGATATATAGGATTATGAAATAACTATAAGAAATGTAGGATTAAAAAAGAAATTTAAGAAATATTAATCTATTACATGAACACAGCACAGTTTGCAAGTATGGTATCAAAAATAAGTTATGCTTATGTTTATTCAGATGGTATGATGAAAATGCAAATCTCAGTGTTTGGATAACTGGCAATGCTAGTTGTATATAGAATAGTTAAGACTGAAGCCTCTTTATCTGCACAGGATCTGGTTAATATTTTCTTTACATGGCATCATCTTGTCCTATATAAGTTCTCAAATCAATCGTTTTGTTTTTTTCTGTGTCAGGAGTGACTTGAGAAACTGCAAGTCGCTTCTGGTGTGAGAGAACTGGCCATCTGCAAGGACGTTGCCCAGGGGATGCCTGGATGTTTTGATGTTTTACCATCCTTGTGGGAGGCTTCTCTCATGTCCCTGCATGGGGAGCTGGAGCAGAGAGAGGGAGCTCATTCGCGCTCTACCTGTATTCGAATCTGTGACTTGTCGGCCTTCAGTTCTGCTGGCACAAGGAGGGGGGGTCCTAAATCAATAGTGATTCAAAGGATTCCAAAGAAGTAGGTTTCCATCCAATGAGAAATGAGCTAATCAATGTATTACCCTATATGATTATGCATAAGTCTAGAAATTCGAATTAAAAAATCAACCTAAAAATCTGGATGGATTTGTCCATGGGTCATTATATATACCGAATATACACTTATCAAAAGAGAAACCAACCCTTAGAGTGGGGAAAGTCAAGAGTTTAGCCTGTCCTGGAGGAACCTAAAAGAAGCACCAACTTCCTTCTCATTTCTCTGCTGTGGTGTTACTTCTGAATGCCTGGGTGGATTGAGAAATGCCTGAAGTGGCATTGGTGTTTTCCCTTCTCTGTAGAAAGACCCTTGATTTATCCATGGGTAATATCAAAATCCATAATTTTGTTCCCAAACTTACATATGAGGTCAACCTATAAATGAGTATTTATAGGCTGACCTCAAGGCTGCTGGTGCCTTGAGTTTCCTTTCTCTTTAGAGCTTCATTTTTGTTTCTACAGTTCAAGTGGCCATTGTAGGTAGGAAATGCTAGTAGTAGATTTTTTAAAAAAAAAACCCTAACTTTTCCAACTTCTGCTTACATATACTGTAATATGTGACTGTATTTCACATTACAGATTGCCAGTTCTGTGTTTTGTGCACTCTTATTTTTCTGTATTTTCTGTATTTTTGTGATAATTGAACAAAACTTTTACAACCCAAGCAAGTACATTAAGAACTTTTCCTCTCTTTACTGTTTGATACAGATTTTTCTGGAGTAGGGAAACTGGTGAATTAGGTAAACATTCAGTCTATGCCTACATCAGCCCTGTTTATTTTTTTTTACTGCATTGTAGAACACAAAACATTAAAAGGAGTGCCCACTCAAGCGTGCTTCACATACTTAATTTCACTTTTTTATCTCATTGATCAAAACATTTCACCACGCCTCTCATACTTCAGGCAGTTTTCCACGTTTCTCAGACACGCTTGATTCTTCTGGGAATTAGCTATTCTGATTTAATGCTAGACTTGAACAGTATTGTAGCAATACATCTCTGCACCCAAACATATCTCAATTTATTTAAAACTGTAATTAAAAAGAAAAATGGAAACACCTTGCAAAGGACTAGAGAAACATCAAGATCAAAACCTACAGATTGGTTGTTTTCTAATGCTTTGGGGGAGTTTAAATTAAAGTTATCTACAGTTCCACAGCTGAATATGGAAATTAGTAAACATTAAAATATTTTCTCTTTTACTTTCAGTATGTATTTATTCATTATTCATTTACGACATTTATATGCCGTCCTTCTCACCCCGAAGGGGACTCAGAGCGGTGTACAAGTTATATATACATACAATATATTATATTATTAGCATAGCACAATATTAGTATTATATATTACCATATTGTACTATACCACTATACTGTAATATTATGAGTATTATATGTAATATGAAATAAATAATTATTTTATAGTATTATTATTAGTATTATATTGTACTACATTATAATATTATCAATATTATATGTGTATACAATATATTATATTATTAGCACAGCACAATATTAGTATATTACTATATTGTACTATGCCACTATACTGTAATATTATTAGTAATATTACATGTAATATATATATATATATATATATATATAATTACTATATTGTATTATTATTAGTATTGTATTACATTATATTATTAGCACAGCACAATATTAGTATTATAGATATATTATATATTAGTGTGTGTGTGTGTGTATTTCAGCTGCTAGGAATAATGTATAGAATATATAAAATAGTGAAGCACAATCAAACATGCCCTTTTCTCAGACCATTAAAAAAAGCTGTAAAGCATATTTTCAGCAGTGGAGCAGAACAAAGCTTCCCTAGTGCAGTTGACATTTAGAATGAGGAATGTAGCATGAGAGACATGCAATACACAAACACACATGAACACTTCCTTTCTTCAGCAAACAGCAGGGAATATATAATTAATTAATAACCGTTGCTAATGTTAATATTCCCATCCCAAGAGGAAAATATCTTTGGGGTCTTTCCTCTTGTTTACCAATAGGGCATTTGTGCACTAAGCTCAGAAGGCCTATTTTTAAACCTACGGGTATCTGGTGCAAATAACCTTCTGAAAATAGAAAAGGCTAAGAGAGAGACACACAGTTCCAGCCCATGATCTAATAAAAAAGATACAAAGAGGAAGGGGAGGAAAAAAAGAAAAGCACATTCAAACCTGGGCCTGCTGGAATGACTTCAACCTCTTCTTGAATCGGGATGGAAGAACAAAATCACAGCCTTTTGCGAGGAAAGCTAACTCTCCTCGTAAATCTGGGTCCCTTCGCAGAGATGCTTCCTTGATCATCATTTTGGTTAGTTCCTGAGGACTGTTTTTTGTCTTTCCAACAGAAGTAAAGAGTCCTTCTTGGGGAGTACGTCAACCCCAATGAGCTACTTTCTTGGTTGACTTCTTTTATGGCCAAGAAGTTCTAACTGAAGCATACCTTGCCTTCTGGTTCACAGTGAAAGTTGTTCGGCCACTATATCCCACCTTATGGCCAGAGAACCTTTTTCCCCCGACATTAAAAGGATCCCTGATCATGGATATCTCTGGGTGCCTCTCCGCAATTCTTTATCAAGAGGCATGATCTACACCCGAATCTATGTCCCTGCTGGCTACATAGCAGTCAGAGAATCTGCCCTTGGCTTGCAAGAGAGCAGAGGTATTGTGGGAAGTGAAGCACCCAACATCACTACCAGTAGTGCTAAAGTTAGACATACTGCAGAAGTAGCTAAATATATCGCCTTCCCAGATAGTTCTTGTTTTATGAGCTTCAGGGGTGAAATCTGAGGTGCAAAGGAGCAGCCATCAGCTGGAAGTAAAAACATATGCTATAGTGGTGTGAAAATTTGTGTTATGGAGGACCATCATCACAGCATATATTGTTCTAATTTGAACTATGAGCTTTGGACCCTTTTGATTAGCTGTTTACTTAGATCCAGAGGAAGAGGATAACACTGGATGTTCCTGCCACATTGAAAAGTTTACACATACTTTTTCAGGGAACAGGTTCTGATTTCAATGAGACTTATTTCTTAATAAACATGCTGTAGTTTGTGTTCCATATAACTTTCAGCTGGTGTTTGATAGCAAATTCAAACATAATAAAACAATTTGATAAACAATTTTCAAAGCATCTGCTTTATTGTTAATGTTGTTTTTTTTAAATGAAATCCATTTCAAAGCAAATGCTAATGAGACTGCTGTTTGAAAAACTCACAGAAGAGTTAAAAAAAACCTTGCTGCCTCCTGTATAATATCAACAAATCAACACTGGGTTATCAGAATCCCCAAGGTGAAACAATTTAGAAACTTTTTATTTATTGTTGAAGGCTTTCATGGCTGGAATCACTGGGTTGTTGTAATTTTTTTCAGGTTGTATGGCCATGTTGCAGAAGCATTCTCTCCTGACATTTCGCCTGCATCTATGGCAGGCATCCTCACAACCTCTGAGGATGCCTGCCATTGATGGAGGCGAAATGTCAGGAGAGAATGCTTCTGGAACATGGCCATATAGCCTGACAAACTTACAACAACCCAAACTTTTAATTGTAGATACTAGCCATGGATGTAAATAAAGAAGCCTTGGGAAAGCCCCACAGATTAATAGCTATCGGCACTCCCGTACATATTCCTTCTGTTGAATAATTCACAAGGAATGTGACTGCCTGTAAAAATTGCCGTTTGCTCCTGAACCCGTCCACCCCAGAGAGAGAGAGAGAAAGAGAGAGAGAGAGAGAGCACAACTGAGGAAATGAGAGAGAGAGAGAGAGAGAGAGAGAAAGTTGATCATACTGGCAACCCAGATCTGGGAGAAGGCGGCATGTCCAGTCTCACATGTTTATTACTTTACTGTTCCACAAGATACTGAACATTTGTTGACAAGCCTCCTGTTCCACGATGAGATCTACAACTAAGTAGTTTAATTAAAACATGTGGTGGTTCACATGTCAAATGTTCATATTCAAAGAAGGATTTTTGTTCACACAAAAATTATTTATATATTTATTTATTTATTTGCTATATTTGTATACCACCTTTCTCAGCCCTCAGGCAAACTTTTATTTCTGGAAATCTTAAATATCTTTGCCAACAGGATATTGTTTCCTTTTCTGTTAAAATCACAGAACGGGAATCTATAGCCAAATCAGATATTATTGCCACTAGCAAGGACCTCATCAAGAAGAGGGTGCAAACATAGTGTTATATTAAGCTATCCAATTAAAGCTATTTTAAGGTCAAAATTGTACTCTTTGTTTTTTTCCTATTTCATGATAATACAGTTTTGAATGCTGTATTTCCAAAATCTGATTTCACATAAAATATATAGAAACCTATGATTGAATACCAGCAATTATTTAGCTCAAACTATGGAAGCAAATTTCCTCATCATGTTATGAGGCACTTCAGCCCATTCAGTTTGACAACTACATAATCACAAGGCAGGAACAAAGTATGGAGGAAGTCTTTCCATGGAAAAAGCGTGTTAACTGATTTATTTCTAACTCTAACCACTTCCTCCAGTCTCATACCATTCAAAGGAGATGTAAAATTGACCACAGTGACAACTTTTACTCGGTTTTTTTAAAAATTGGAAAATGTATTTATCCATTGTAAAGATTTGTGGCCATGGGTGAGTATGCATCTGCCCTTTTAAAGTAATTTAAAACAATTTCAAAAAGAATTACCAAAGTGTCATGAGTACTGGGGAAAAAGAACAGACAGCTGAAATTATACCAAACTGAACACAGTTGCAACAGTGTGGATCACCCTTTTGGCACTATTTCATGTTTGCCATAATATGACTTGGGGCACTGCAAAACTGGTTTTGCTACAATTTGGCAGAACATAAAAAAATGAATGTCTACCTTAGGGGAATGGATAGTCGTACAGTACTAACTTAGGGATCTTAAAAAATGTTTAGCAATAGACCTTTTTGTACTCTTTCTGATATAACAAACAAATGTAGAACTACAGTAGAGTCTCGCTTATCCAACCTTTCTCTCATCCAACGTTCTGTATTATCCAACGCAGATCCACAGCTGTTTTAATACATTGTGATGTTTTGGTGCTAAATTCGTAAATACAGTAATTACTACATAACGTTACTGTATACTGAACTGCTTTTTCTGTCGATTTGTTGTAAAACATGATGTTTTGGTGCTTAATTTGTAAAATCATAACATAATTTGACGTTTAATAGGCTTTTCCTTAATCCCTCATTATCCAACATTTTCGCTTATCCAACATTCTGCTGGCCCGTTTATGTTGGATAAGTGAGACTCTACTATATTTTGCCATTCAGTGGGAGATAGGTTACTGTTTTCCACAGTACATGGGATGGAGTAAAAACACAGGCACACACACAGTATGGTTTTCTATGCAAATTTATGCAAATTTATGAACAGTTATATAAACAGAACTGCAGTCTTACCTTGATGACCTCTGGCTTCTGTTGAATTAGTGCTGGGATGGCTTCCTTGGGAGTTGTACCCGAGTAGCTCTGCTGGACAGCTGTGATGGACGGAGTGGCCAATGTTTCCTGAAGAATGTGCATAACTTCCTTCTCTTTCGACAAGCTTCCTTTCCCCATTCGGAATTCAACTAGCTCCTGGGCAAAGTCTTCTATACTTTCAAGGATGCGTAACAAAAGGGTTTTATCATCGTCTTCCATTTTATGTCCATTGGTTTCTATGAGCTTGGATAAAGAAGCGGAAGCACTTTTGTCTGCAGGAGAACAGGCTTTGCCTTTATTGTCCAGAGTCGGGGATAGATTACTATCTTTCAAATAGGCAGGATCACTCTGTTTAGCAGTAGTCTCTTTCAGAGTAGCCTCCATTTTCTGTGAAAAGTGTTCCAAATCCAACAAAAGTTTATCTATCTCTTCTTGATTACTTTGTCTGTGTTCTCCTTTTGAAACCTGAATGGTCTGTTCAAGGCTGGTCGAGGTTGGTAGGACGGAGGTTTGTGCTGCAGCAGGTGATGCCGTATTAGGATCTTCAGCAGGGTCTGCCTTTTCAGATTTCTGTGGTCTGGAGGCTGATTTCACCTGCATTCCTCTACCCTTAGCACTTGTTACACTGCCTAATATATTTTCTCTATCTGATTCTTCCATAATGTACAAAGTTTCTGTAGGAGAAATGCAATCTAGTGGATTTACAAATAATTGAGAATGTACACAAGGATCATTTCTAGATCCTAAATTGTCATTTTGATTGCTGACATACGAAACCTTTGAGGACAAATCTGTACTGGGGGGTTGGGTAGGTTTGGCTGATGAATTTGCATTTCTGCTAATCTGATTTTCTTGTAAATCTGTAGTGAGAGACTGCCTTGTCATAGAGGTTGGGGAAGATACTACGTCTTCATATCTAGGTGGCTGTTCACCACCAAACACTGGGGGGAAATGAGACTGCTGCAAGGCAGACAAACTGTTAATCATTTCTACCATGTCACCAGCCTCAGTGAGCCCAGGCTGCCTAAATTCAAAAGGCAATTTTTTAAGGTAAGATGAAAACCTTGTCATTAAGTTCATATAGATTACTTCAGTATTGGCCACTGAATCATTACCATTTCCTCCACTGCCACTACCTGAAGATTTCTTCCTGATACACTGCTTTATTATATCAGTACACTTCTTCAAGTCCTCTGAGCATTTCAGCAGGATGTCCAAGCACATCTTAATGTCCCCACTGGAAGAACCATCTAATCTGTGCTTCTCCAAAATCTGCGTAATAAAACTATCTTCAGAGAAAGTCAGCAAAGGCGAGGCAACTGGAGAATTCACAGTTTCTTCTACCGAGTGGCTCCTGACCCGCCATTTCTCATCAGGAGAGGACTTATGTGACAGGCCAAAGAGAGGGGGGGAATTTTCATCATTGCCAAAATGTCCATAGATCAAGTCAAAATCTAATGATCTTCTATTGAATGGGTCTGACTTTACTTTTCTTCCTTTTCTATAGCTCACTTGATTGGGAGAGTTTTTAAGTTTTTCAAATGAAAACTCTTTTATTTTTCCACTAGCAAGGTTTATGGCTTCTCCGGTGATATCTTTCAGACTTCCAGTGCTTTGAACAGTGGACCCCTTTTTGAGTCTTGGGTTACTAGGAAGGATTTGGTGATAATCTTCATCCCCAGTAAAAGCAAGGGAATTTTCAGGCACTGAGAGCCTGTGGGTCACTTCTGGACTCCGAGTCCTGGGTGCAGGGGCCTTCATCAGCTCAGCACAAACACTGTGGTGAGCCACGATGCACATCACTCCTTGCTTGAATACATGACATGCCCCAGTGCAGTGATGCACCGCATGCTGAAGCCGACGATCTATCACAACACTGCTGTAGCAATTCACTGTTGTTACTACACGCCTATAGGTTGCTGCCATAATGTGAATTTTTAACTAGTTACACAATGAACTGAATTTTAAAAAGCAATCACATTGCCTCTCTTCAAGTCACACACATACTGTGCATGAACAATAAGAGTCTAAGGTGATTCTCCTAAAAATTATTTTACAATGCTGGAAAAGTAATAATAATAATAACTTTATTTATATCCTGCACCTATCTCCCCGAGGGGACTCAGGGCAGTTGTGTAATTGGAAAAGCGTAATACCCAATCCTAATTTTATCTGTATTGGCTACATTTCATTTATTTACTTAGATCGTGAAGGGCTGTAGTTGATTTTGAAAGTACTGTCATGTTTTTAGATTGCTCCCGTCCTCCAATTTTAATGAATCTTCGAGGTAAAATTGCAGAGGCCCAATCCACTTGAAGAAAAAGGAAGGAATGGTTTTCTCTTAAATATTTTGTCCAATTTGCTGCTTGACTTTCAGATATAGTGGAGATGCAAACGACAGGTTGTATGGTCAAATGTTCCAAGTACTTTGTCAATGAGGGAAATACCTGCAATTACAAATACTATTAGTAAATATGAAGTACTGCTCCATCTCTAACTTCAGTTTTTACTTTATCTCTTAAAGAAAGAATAATACAGTTCAGTAGTACAGTACATTACAGTTTTTTGTTATTCACAAACAAAGCAAAATCAATGAAATTTACATAAATCTTAATTTACCAACTGTATACAGTACATGTGGATGCTTCAAGTATTGAAGTTCAAATCATTTATGCCTCTGAGTGTCACCAACAAGCATTTTGAATTCAGGGAAACATCCTTGTAGTTGGCCAATTCTCTCACACCAGAAGTGACTTGCAGTTTCTCAAGTCGCTCCTGACACGAAAAAAAAAAAAACTTCAGAGAAGACGCACATTGACAGCCAATGTTATTCCTTTAAAATCAGTGTAACATGATGTCTAAGTGGAACTTATCTAGCTGTTGCATTTTGCACTAGTCAAAGCATCTAAGATAGTACAAGATAGTACCCCATATAGACTATATACATTATAGTAGTCTAATCACTGTATGAATTCTTGTAACTGCATTATCCTTGTTCAGGAAAAGCTCCAGCTGGCATATCGCTCAAAGCTGACCCCAACCCCTCTGAACAAAGATGGATTCTGGAAATCTCCCAAACTATGCACCTGCTAATTTGGAAAGATACAACCACATCTAAGACACTTAACACAGAATCAGGCCCGTAGCCAGAATTTCGATTCGAGGGGAGGGGCTGAGTTTGTTGGGGGGGGGCTGAGTCTGAGTGAAAGAGGGTCTACCCTAGCAAACCTTTTGTATCGTTACCCCCAATACCCCCATGCATATGGGATATATTGAGTATGGTGATCAGATCATGATATGAATAAATGTAACAGTTTAAATAATGCACCAGTAAGGCCTTTTCGCGAATCACCATGAGAATTTGGGGGGGGGGGTGAAGCCCCTCAAGCCCCCCTCCCCCGGCTACATGCCTGCACAGAATAAATCTCACCATATTAAAACAGTGCATGTGGCTCTTAATGAGAAATGCTGCATTATCACAGGATGTCTATGCCCTACACTGTTAGTGAAATTATACTGTTTAGCTGGTATTGCACCACCTGATATCCATCAGGACGTAGCAGCCAGTAATGAAAGGGCCAAGGCATTGACATCTCTTGCCCATCCTCTGTACAGATATTAGCTAGCATGTCAACGTCAAGAAATAGCTTCCTTAGATCTACAGAGATACCCACAGAAACACCTCAGCAAGCAAGAGTCCAAAAGTGGCAGGCTAAAACCCGGAACCTCAACCAGTGGCTGAGACCAAATGAGAGACTCCCTTCTGGGCCCATGAAGACTGGGCGACCTGGAAGGTGTTGAACAGGCTGCGCTCTGGTACCATGAGATGCAGAGCCAACCTTAAGATATGGAGCTACAAAGTAGAATCCACAACATGTGAGTGTGGAGAAGAGCAAACCACAGACCACTTACTACAATGCGGTCTGTGCTCTGCCAATGGAGGACCTTCTTACAGCGGCACCAGAGGCACTCGAAGTGGCCAGCTTCTGATCAAAGGAAATTTAGTATAATGCCAAGTTTTTAACTTTGTAGTTTTTCTATGCATTATAACTGTGTTCTCAATTTGCTTGTGACACAATAAATAAATAAATAAATAAATAAATACACAGTTTAAAAACCTTAGAAGCAATATTTACTCCAGGTTTTAATGCTGATGTCTAATGATTACACATTCTAATAATTTGGCTGAACACAGTGATCTTGTATCTCCTTTACACTTGCCTGCATGCCAGCAATAAGATACAATATAGATAATTTCTTCTCTGGGACTGGGATGATGTGGAACCTGGTGTTCCTGTATGTATATTTGTGTAAATAGTGAAATATTTGTGTCAACGAATTTGTGAAACGGACTGAATTTTAAAAATGTAGATGAGCAGTATAATGTTATTACTTTTCACTACTTATTTTTGAGTAAGAACAACATATTAAAGCTACATTTAAAAAGCAGCATAACAAATAAGACCAATGTTACTTTATTGAATATTGTATCAAAGTTACCTTTAAAAGCAGCCTCAGATCAATGCTACTTTATTAGTGTAATGAGCAAGGCTATGTGGTTGGAGGCATGAGTCATGAAGTTGGCGTCAAACTCAAAAGCAATTTTGGTTGCAATGGGATTCAGTAGAAATGTATCAACTCCAGCTTAAAATAATTGAATGCCTAGCTTGTTGCAGATTTCATTTCATAGGCATTTAACAAAATTTCTTGTTCAGAAATTTTCACTAAATAAATATATTTATGTTCTATAAGTCTAAAAAGCCAAATGATTCACATTATGGCAATGAAATGCTTTGTGCTACCATATATTACAGTAAACTTGTTATTACCACTTAATATATATTTGCCATTTATGAAGGAGTCAGTGTCAGACAGTCGAACAATAGAGGAGTCAGAGTTTAAAGTTTGGCTTACCGACGCCACAAATCAGGTAATGAGTAACAATTTAAGATATTTTCTGAAAGAAAGCTTTCAAGGCTTTTCTGACTGAGGTTTCCTCTCTCCTAAAAGTAAAATAAGGTAATGGAAAAGCCAGAAGCAGCACAACAAATAACGTAATATGTTAATTTTTTTCACCATTGTAATGAATAACAGGAATGGGCTAATTTTTAAACAGTTTTTGTGTGTGTGTCATGAGCAACTTGAGAAACTGAGAGAAGCCTCCCACAAGGATGGTAAACCATCAAACATCCAGGCGTCCCCTGGGCAACATCCTTGCAGACAACCAATTCTCTCACACCAGAAGCAACTTGCAATTTAAACACAATGAATAGTAATTATTTTTGGAAAATAACTGTGCAAGTGCTGAAAAAAATCCCCTGAGATTTGGGGACAAGCAGCAGTAGTAACAGAACTATGTTTGATCTCAGCAGATCACAGGGTCAGCTGCCACTAACTAATGGCAGTGAATCACTTGCCTAAATCTGGTTGCTAATCCCAATCGGAGTAGTCACTGAATCAGTGTAATTTACTTGAAGGATGATTTATAATTCTGCCTTTAATTCAGTTGGTCCATGACAATAGAGGTGGGAAGATTAGACTCCTCCATTTTGTTTCCTAAGATCTCAGTTATTATCAGCCGGGTATATCCTCTCATCAACAGCCATTTGTATTTTAAATATGTTCACACTGATCTATACTTTGCTTCTGTTTTAAATTATAATGTCATTATTCATTAGCTCAGTGCTATAAATGTTTAACAGAAGTACGTCCCACTCAGCCTAACCAGAAAATGGCCATAAGATTGCAGCTAGAGTTGTTTCTATCTGTAAAAAGTGAGAAATAATGTTTAAAAGAATTTGATTCATTACTATACATTTTTAAAAATAGTATGTTAGCATCTTCTTCAATGGTGGGCAGTAGACTCATGAGATAACCCCAAACATAGGCAATTCTTTTTTCCAGACATATTCTTTTTCTCTCTTTTTAAAATGTTTTCTTAGTAGCACTATGCCTGAGATATTCTCCGTGTGTGCTTTCCACCTAAGGAACCGTGAAGCCAACAGGAAATTGAAAGTTACCTGGGAAGGCCAAGAGCTTGAACACTGTTTGCATCCTAAATATCTCAGTGTCACCTTAGATTGAACACTAACATTTAGGAGACACTGTATGCACACAAAGCACAAAGTAGTCTGCACACAATGACATCCTGTGGAAACTTACTGGCAGTGCATGGGGTGGAAACCCAAAATTAATAACATCAGCCCTGGCCTTGTCTTATTCAACTGCTGAGTATGCCTGCCCTGTTTGGCACAAGTCTATCAATTCGAAGCAGGTGAACATAGCACTGAACAAAACATGCAGAATAATTGCAGGATGTCTCAAACCTACACCTGTTGATAAACTGTACAAGCTAGCTGGCATTCCCCCGCTCCCCCGGATGTGCGATGGGAAGTTGCTGCTAACTGTGAGAGAAATAAAGTTGAAAACTGTGAAAGCCACCCACTGTATGGCTAATAGCCTCCTCCAAGTAGACTCAAATCAAGGAAAAGCTTCATGAGAACCACCGCTCCTTTTGATGTTCCCCAAGCAGCAGCAAGAGTATCCCTCTGGGCAGCTAAACCAGGAAATTCCAAGTGGATGCCCCCCCCCCCCCGAAGGTCTACCTCCAGGGCCAAACCAAGAATGGGCAACTTGGAAGTCCCTGAACAGACTCAGAAGTGGAATGAGAAAATCAAAAGACAACCTAGCTAAATGGCACTACTTAGAAGAATCTTCCATCTTGCGTGGCTGTAGAGCAAAACAAACAACTCCGCACTCTGCCTTATGTGCAGACGAAGACTTTTTTAAAGCTACAGACAATGTGGTCGCTGTTGCCTGTTTTTGGTCAAAAATTATTTAGCTGCTTGTGTTCGCTCTGTTTTTATTAGTTTTATACTTATTTATGCAATGCTTTTGATACAAATTAAATAAATAAATACCATAAATGATGGTTCTTCCAACGACGGCAACATGGGTGGAGGGAATAACAGAAAAACAAAGGGAAATGGTTTAACTCCTTCAACCCCTCTCCCCACTGTAAAATTGCCTATCCTTCTCTGTCTAGGCCCCCTTTTGGCCTCCGCCTGGATAAAAGAACAGTACGGAAGTCCATTTATTAACTGCTTTGTGTGTGGAGATGGTGATACATCTCCCTGCAAAAGCTCAAAATGTCATTCTAAATGTTTTGTTTCATTTTCAAATACATAACGATGTTCCTCCTTTAAAAAGCAGACATGGTACTCAAGTTGAAACTAACTTTGAAGAGCCCTTTTCTTACAATTAGATATACCACAGTTATGAACAGAACTAGAAGACTCTGAAGAGGAAAACTTATTTCATTTCTGTAACCCTGTGACAGCTTTCCAGCTGAGCTTCCAGGAACATGAGTATTATGCACGTACTTTATATGGGCTTTGTTTTAACTGTTGTCATGCAACAAACACAAATCTCGAAGGCATTTCATTTC